ATATATATATATATATATATAATGTTTTTTGGGTTTTTTATATATATACTGATGAAACATCCAGATGAGAGTGTATGTATTTTTCCCCAAAGTATACACATCTATACTTTAAATTATTGCAATACTGCTTTAAAAAGTATCTCATCGGGCCGGCCGAGTGGCTTGTTGGTTAAGAGTTGGCTTGGGAGCGCAAGCTCTGAGCAGCAGGGCCACCGGTTCGGATCCCACATGGGCCAGTGACGCTGAGCCCTCTACAGCTAAGATAGTGAACAATAGCTCGACCTGGAAGTGGGCTGTCGTGAGGTGCCAGCAACGGTGTAGGCTGCAGTGGGGCTGCAGTGGGCTGTCGTAAGCTACCCTGAGTGGCCGGCAGCTTCTATGAGCTGCCATGAGCAGCAGTCCAATGGCTGGCGGCTGATCTGCCTCAGCCGGGAAGAGCTCAATGATCATAATACCAACATGGGCCAGTGAAGCGGTGTCCTCCACAACTAGACTGAAGAACAAAAGGACAGCAACTTGTCTGTTCCCCTTCCCCAATTCCCCATGCTGTTCCCTCCCCCAACTCCCCAATTTAAAAAAAAAGTATCTCATCTAGTATACATTAATAATGACAGAAGAGGAAAAAAATTAGCAAAGAAACTGAAACCAAATTATTAAAAATAACTGCCCATTGAGGGAATGGGCAAATAATTAGGATAACACACCTATGGGCTGACAATAAAGTCAATGGGAAAACAGAATTGCATTCATCAAACATTTTTATTATATGGAATTGTGTATTGCTTTATCTTTTCTGTGTCTTATATATCAATGTATACCAGTATGATTTGTAACTACAAAGGAATGAAACAAGCTCTTAATTACATACTTCAAACAACTCTAGATCAAAAAAGATAAAAATCCTGTTCAATTTATGGCCTTGATTAGTTAGGTCAACACTATCCAATGGAACATTCTATGATGATGGAATTGTTCTGTCATCTGAGCTTTCCAACGTGTAAGCCATACATGGCTATTGAGCACCTGAAACATAGCTAGTGAGACGTAGGAACTAAATTTTTCTTTTACTTTGTTTTAATTAATTTAAATTTGCATAGCCACACACACCTATACTAAATGGCAGCGATTTATATCTTTGCTACTCAAAGTGTGGTGGGAGAACCAGTAGCAACTGCCATTACCTGGTAACTTGTCAGAAATTTAGAATCTCAGGCCCTACCCCAGTCGTACTGAATAAAAATCTCTCTTTTAACATCCCTAAATAATTTAATGACATTAACATCCAAGAAGCACTGATTTAGGTCATAAAGAAATCCTGATAAGGGCCAGCCGTGTGGCTCAGTTGGTTAAGAGCTTGCCCAAGAGTTTGAGCTCTGAGCAACAGCAGTTCGAGTCCTGGCCTGAGCTGAGCTACCAACAGGTGGCAGGATGGCTCAGCTAAAAAAAAAGAAAAAGAAATCCTGATAGCACTGATGTTTTCATTAGACAACCATAATTTGACAAGTTTTCCATGTCCACATAACAAACTCATTCCACTTTTTAACTTACACATACCACCTAAAATATCACCAAAGTTCTCATTTATTTTAATAGCTATTAATATGATGGGATATTAATATTTTCTAGTTTGCACAACCATTATCAAATTGTCAGGTGGTTAGGTAATGGCCAGTATGTTACTATATAAATAGTGTGGCTACAATTACCTTTGTACAAATATAACCTTTGTTCCTTTACATTATTTTCCTGGGATTAATTCCTCTAGGAGTATTCCCCAAAGGACATCATAATTTTCTTGGCAGCTTGTGTTTCATTTTGATCTACTGCTCCCCAGAACACATACCAACAGTCTGTGAGTGTGTCTATTTCCCCACAAGCACACTAACATTGAGTTTTATCATTTTGTTACATTAATAGGTATGAAATAAACTTGTATTTCTCATTTGCACTTAGTAAATAAATCTCTCCATTTATTCAATTCTTGTTCTATTTTCCTTATTGAGAACTAAAATCTTTCTAATAATTCTCTTTCATTTCCCAAATATTAAATATTTATCTGTTGCCACTGTTATTTTTTCAGTTATCTGTCACTAGTGAACAGAAATGCAAATGACTTTATAAAATTATCTTCTAGTAAACAAAAATGACTGCAGAATTATGGTAAACAAAAATGCAAATGACTTTGCAAAATTATCTTATTGAAATTGATCATTTGTTTTTCAATGTAAACATCTAAGTTAAAAGCTATTCTCTATTAATTAATCTTTGAAACTGACTTATTCAAAGGCTGTTGCCTGTGTGTAAAGCATTTCTGAAACCCTCCGGTAGGTATTGCCTTCAGATCTAGCTGTGGAGCCTTATAAGAAAAATCACAGAATCAACAACTATGTCAGCCACCTCAAAACCCAACCAGCCCTCCCACACACCTTGCTTCATGGAGAAGTCAAGGGCAGCTGGTCAGGCAGGCTCTGACAATAGCCTCTATCAGCCGTTTTTTCAGGCAGGCCCTTGCTTTCTCCAACCCGGTGTCCCTGACTTTTAGTGTTTCTGGCGGTCCTTGATAAGGCTGACCTCAGCTCTCTGCTTGCTTTTGGGTTCTGTGGTTTCAGATAACTGCTCCCCCACAGCCCCCATCACCCAGAGCCCTCAGCAGCTGGGCTCGGATCTCCCCCCTCATCTCTCCCCCAAACTCCACTGGGAGGAGGGATCTGAAGAGAATCTACAGCAAGAAGAGCCCAGCCCTCAGCCCAAAGCTGAAAGCCCCTCCATTATAGCTTTAGCAGATGTGTGTCAGCCTCATTACCTCGTAAGGTATCTCACTCCATTGGCCATTGCCATTACCTCTTGCTATGAAGCTGAAAAGGACCCCGTTCAAGCATCCCGCCACTAGCTAGCCAGGTTTGGCCCTCTGGCTTGGAGATACCTGACAACTGTTTATCAGATGGAATTAAGAATCTTCGCTTTCCCTTCACCTCCAGTCCAGACATCCTCGACATGGAGTCAAGGCTATGGCATCTCTCCTGTGGCCAAATCAAGATCACAGAAGAGGACCCAGCCCTCTCCAGGCCCCTGAGAGATGCAACATGGGTTATACCTGTCGGGTGTCTGTCCTGTCCTAACCAAGGAGAAGGGGGGCACTTGCAAGGTCCCTGAAGTCAAATTTCCCCTAAATGTTATAACCAAAGGCAGCCAGGCAGCCTAATGGGGACGCCACTGCCTGGAACCCTGGGTGCCCAGGCTTTTCCAAACCCACCCGAGACACGCAGGCCTGGAAGGGGAGCCCACCCAGCACATGCTGCGCTGGCTGGATCCTTAAAGCTGCCCATCTGAGGGCTTAGTTTCACGTCTCATTTCTCGTTTCCATCTTCAGGCAAACTGCTCACTCCTCTAGATTCTGAAACTCACCTTGAACCCAGCTTCAGTCTGCAACATCTATGTCTAGCCTTGGCTTCTGACCTGCAGCCTCCTCCCTGGGAAGCCCTGCTCCATTTTCTGGTGTTCCCTAGACTTCTCCCAACTTCTCAGAGGTTTTATCTTTGCCCTAATTTCAGCATCGTTAATCAGCCACAAAGGGGGGAGGGGGACGACAGTTTGTGCTTACCTATTTGGGGGTAAGTAAGACCAGAAAGAAGTACAGAAACTAACATTTATTACATATTTACTAAGTGATAAGAAGTTTGCATCTGTTATTTAATTTAGTTGTCTCCATAGTCCTATGAGGTAGGATTATTTTTTTACTTTGGGAAACTGAGGCTGGATAAAAAGAGAAATCAAAGATGACTCAAAATACGAGGCTCTGATAACTGAACCCAGATCTCAAAAAACAAAAACCTAATCTGGAAACACAAAACAGGCAGATCTGAAACCTTTCCAAATCAGAAAGAAGAAAAAAAGCTATTCTGGATTACTTAAGCCCTGTACTAAATAAATGGAAAATTGAGAGCAGAGAACAAGGAAAGAGAATGCACCACATAAGAGAATAAACCACATGAAGGGCGTAGTAGGGACACAGTAAATGATAGAAACTGTTTCTTATGTTTGGCTTTGAGGAGACAAGCTCAGCGGCACCAGTTGCAGGGCTTGATGGAGGTCATGTTTAGGTTTAACGTGATAGACGCTTCCTTACTACTGTCTTCTGATCCCTCCGCCCCGGTTCCAGGTCCCTAATATTAACTAGGAGGCTTAAGCCAGGACATAATGTAAAAGTCTCCCATGGCTTCTTGGGGTTCTCTAACTCAGTGGTTCTCAAAGCGAGGTCCCTGGTGCAGCATCACCCGGGAGGTTGTCAGAAATGCAAATTCTCAGGCCTCATCCCAGTGAGTCTCCAACTTTTATCACGCACCAGCATTATCTAGAGCAGCAGTTCTCAACCTTCCTAATGCCGCGACCCCTTAATACAGTTCCTCATGTTGTGGTGACCCCCAACCATAAAATTATTTTCGTTGCTACTCTATAACTGTAANGCTGTTCAGCTCGGGCCAGAACTCGAACCGCTGTTGCTCAGAGCTCAAACTCTTGAGCGAGCTCTTAACCAACTGAGCCACTCGGCCGGCCCCAGGTGGCATCTTTTAAAAAGGAAACTGCTTGCCTTTCACTTACATCTACTTACTGATCACTGGGCTACCTGTCTACCTACATCCAGGCAAGACCAAAAATCAAACTTTTTCTGTGAAGGGCCAGGGAGTAAATATTTTAGGCTTTGCAGGCCATTCTGTCTCTGTTGCAACTACTCAACTCACCCTTGTACGGACAAAGCAGGAATAGACAATGTGTAAATAAATGGGTGTGGCTGTGTTCCCATAAAAGTTTACTTGTAAAAATATTGGGTCGTCGGAAAAGTCACGAGGCATTTTTGCATAGAAAACAGAAAAAAATATGTCATGACTTTTCTGATGACCCAACAGATGTCAGGCCAGATTTGGACCGTGGGCTATAATTGAATGACCCCTCATCTAGACTATCATGTGCTAGCAAAATAAAATTATATTTCATTTGAATCACATTTTGGGGTCTCTTTGTTACAACAGCTTAGCCCATACCCTCCAATAGACCCTGTCATTTTCTAAAACCTCGATTCAAAGCCCACCTCTTCCAGAAGGCCACTCTGATATAAAGCATCCATGAGTCCTAACTACTTCATCTTCAGATTATAGCAGAGGAGGCATTCGGACTCAAATTCTTATAAAACATCAAAAAGGAAGGAAATTGCTGGAATCTCCCAGGTCACTCAACAACACCCACCTTTTGGTGGTGCCACCTGCAGAGCCCTGGTACTGTGAATTTTTTCCTGCTGCTGCTCCAACACATTCATGAAACAATGCTGCCAATAATATTCTTCTGTTTTTTACACCCAGCAATCATAACTTACCTCAGGCATAAAGAAAGGGTCACTTTGGAGAAGAAGCACTGCTAATTCTTCTTTGTTCAGTCCAGAGAGCTGATGACTTTTCAGGATTCGGAAGTTCTCTTCTGAGAGAACATCGTGAGAATATTTGCATAAATTCCTGGAAGAAAATGACAATTGTTCAGTGATTCCAAATCACCTAAGTAAAGAAAAAGAAGCCATCCAGGGAACTTGCAGTCATTAAGGATCAATACCCATATGCTTTGATAACAAATATAGGTTGGTCCAGCATAAAGAACACACTTTAAAAATATAAACTGATGGGGCTGGCCGAGTGACGCGTTAGTTAAGAACTGGCTTGGGATGTCATAGGACCCCAGTTCGGATCCCACATATGAGGGCCAGTGACACTGCCCTC